CATTCATGTCATCAGTGAACAGTGAAAATTTTGTTTCATCATTTTCAAATATATTCTATTTTTTTTCCTTGCTTACTTGCAGGAGCTAGGATCCAGTGTTGTTCCTGATATAAGAGAGAAAGCTTTCAACATCTCACCACTAAGTATGATGTTGACTCTAAGTATTTTGTAGAATACCTGCCTAGTTCATTTAGGCTGCTATTACAGAATACCCCAGACTGGGTAATTTATAAACAATAGAAATTTAATTCTCTGGAGGTTCTGGAGGCTGAGAGTCCAAGTTCAGGGTGCCAGCACAGTCAGATTCTGGCGGAGGCCCTCTTATGGGTTATACAGACTGCCAACTTCTTGCTGTGTCTTCACATGGTGGAAGGGGTAAGGGAACTCTCCTGAGCCTCGTTTACAAAGCTATTAATCACTTCTCAAAGGCCTCATTTCCTAATACCATCACATTGGGCATTAAGATTTCAACACATGAATTTGGGGGACACACAAACATTCAATCTACAGTAATACTCTTCATCAGGCTGAGAATGTTCTCCTTTATCATTGGTTTGCTAGTTGCTATCAAAGTTTTCAGTCATGAACCATTTTTTAATTTTATCAAATACTTTTTCTGTCACTATTGAGGTAAGTAGGATTTTTTCTTTATTTGGTTAATTAATTTCAAGTATTTCCAAATGTTAAGTTAACCTTATATTTTTTTGAATAAACAACTTAGTTGTGATGTATTAGCCTTTCCATACGTCATTAACTTACTATTTAAATATTTTTGCTTAGGATTTTTGCATCTATGTTCAAGACATTGATTTATAATTTTATATGTTTTGTTTTCTTTGGCCAATTAGGTATCGACAGTGTATGTTGGCCAGATGAAAATATAGGGAAGTGTTTCCTCTTTTTCAGTTTTTGGAAAAGTTTGTCTAAAATTGATGTTAACTTTAACCCCAGCTCAGTTGTACATCTTTTATAAAAAAGGATTTTTTAAAAGCATTTTTAGCATTCTCTACTGTGGAATAGACTAATACACACCAACTATTAATACTGCTTATGGGAAAGGGAAGAAAAGGAGAGTGGAGAGAAAAATTACTTAGTATTTATGTTGCTCTGTATTTTTTATACACATTTTATAAATTTGGGACAGAAAGTTAATGAGATTTTTGCAAAATAACTGTAATACAGAGAAACCATTTTAAGAAATCGTTATGCAGTCTATTAACTTTGCTAGGTACTTATACCTTGAAGTGAGATGAACTACCAGAAAGTTACATATTTGGCATGCATTAGGGTTATTCCTAAGACAGTAATGTTTACCTTCAGTTTTTATCAAATGTCATCATATAGTCTTGAAATTTAGTGTTTTATAAGTTACAAAAATGTGACTAAGGTCATTGTCTATTACATCACTCACTGCCCTCAAGGAATTTTATGATGGCTCAGAGCCAAATTCACAAGCCAGCTATGGCAACAAGGTTTGAGCCTTATGATGTGTATAATTATGCTCTCTTTTTATTTGATCCTGATATTTTATTTCTTTTTTGTCAAGTTCACTTCGGTTTGCTGTGTTATAAGCTGCCTCAAATCCCCAAAGGAAAATAAAAGCAAATAGATTATTTTTAAAATGTGCATTGGATACAGGAAAATTCTGGATTTTAAAGTGAAATTTTTCTAAAATATTATCAAGCTGAGAAATAATGATTGACCCACTTGTCTTATGTGTCTTTGAGGGTCACAGACAGTGACCAGAAAATCCAAGAAACGGTTTACCATGACCTACATGGGCAGGTCACGTAACTTGATTGTGCCTGGATTTCTTCATTTGCAAAATAGAAGTTATTGACGTCTGCTTCTTCTTCCTCACAGGATTATACTAAAGAAACACACACACACAGACAAAGAAGATTGTTCTGATTCAAATGTAAGGGAAAGGAAATAAGATTTACTGTTAATTCTGCTAGATGTTTCATCTACATCATCTTATTTAACCCATACTGCAACCCTATTAGGTAAATACTATTACCCCCAATTTGCAGACGAGCAAACAGAGGCTCAAAAGTTTTAGGCAGTTTGTCCAAACTTGCATAGTTTTTAATCAGCAGTGCAGGATTTCAAACTACATCTATCCCAAATGACTAATACATTAGTTGTAACTGGTGAAGTTCTTCATAGAGGAAAGGTGCTCAATATGCGTTTGGGGCTTTATTTATTACTTAATAGGCAAACCACTGCCTTACGTTGATCAATTATATTTGAGTTTCTACTCTACAACTTATAAATCTTCTTGAAACTTAAACCGTTAGTGGCAGTTCATGAGTCTAAGATTTTAGTGAGGAAGGACTTTAGATAGTGTAATAGTTTTCAGTTGTTGCCGTAAGTACAATTTAAGGGAAATGGAAACAAGCTTGTCGCTACCAAGGGCAGAGGTTGAGTTATGTCTCTAACAATCCCTAATATAAACCGATTACCAAGACTGCAATTTAGGAAGTCAAGTAAGGGTTTTTAACGTTGGAACACCACCATAGTTTCATGTTTAGAAGCTGGCTTGTGAGAACCAACAGAAAACCTCATATCAAAACAACCATTTCCCAAGTCTGAGAAGATACCCTCGTCCACATACCTCCATTGCTTTTTCCAAAGGGCAGGCATGACAATAAAAACTCTGAGTGGAAAAACATAAAAGGGAGTTTCATCACTGACAAGTGGTAGAAGTTCTGACCGTGAGCTGGGAGACGACAGCCTTGGAACCCCTTCGGAAGCAAACCCAGGTGAGAAAAGCAATTGGTACCAGGTAGAGAGCATGCCAAGTCCCCTTCTCTTCAGGCCTCTGCGGGAGCTCTTTGCTAAATCTTTTAATAGCATCGAGCTTGAATTTTTATTCTTTTTATACAATAGCTTGAAATCAACTTATTGTCAGGCAACAGTGGTAGTATTTATCCCTTATTTCCCTGGGAAAATGGCTAATACCTGAAGATGTTGATAGCTTCTATTTTCAATGGAAAGGTTTGATAAAGCACAGTTGTATGTATGTGGAAGAAGGAGGACAATGAATTTTGAGGCAGGCCAGCCCTGTCAGGAGCAGCATCACTTCTAATCCTGCCCAAGCAGACAACGTGATTGTATATCCTCATTAATGCTATAACTGGTATCTGGAATCTGTTCAAAAACGCCGATTTACTTTGTAACAGAGGATTATGGCTGAATTTGGAGTTTTTTATGGTCTGCAGATGCTTGTGAAATTCAAATATAAAAACTGTCAGTTAAACATCTCATGAAAAGCTGTACCTTATACTAATCCAAAGGAACACGAACAAGTGCTCGAGGGGAGGAAAATCCACGATATGTTTCAGTAGCGAACCACTTACAGAAACATTAACATTCCTGGACAGGGTTGCTCATGGAGTTTCTAAAGTAACTTAGGAGCTATCAGGATTCAGTTCTTAACAGACTTCAACACAGTAGGGGGAAAATTGTCAGTCAGCAGCCTCCAGTATTTATGAATTATTAATGTTGGCTTTCTGGGTATTTTTTTTCAAGTTTTGCTTTTGTGTGCATGTTCAGCTGAGTAATTCAATAGACTGATGGAGACATGAATAGATATGCTAACTAGCACCAGGGTTAACCTTTAAAGTTCGTTAAAGCTGTCAGCTTTCAATGAAATATTTTCACGTTCCTTTTTTTTCCTGTGAACTGGAATATAAACATTATTTGTACACTGGGATCAGAGGTGCTTGGAAGAAAAGAAGACTCCACCCTGGCATCACATTTTTTCAATCAAGACAACACTAATGGATTCATCAAGAAAGGCATCTTTTAAAAAATTTCTCACTTACAAACCACACCACCAAAATATATTCAATGGCTTACCTTTATTACAGTGTTTTCTCAACCAAAAAAAAAAAAAAGTGATGACATGTACCTATTGCTACAAAAGTACTCAGGAAAAAAGGGCTATGATGTGGAAAGGAAAAGGATAGGCTTTTGGAGAGGGAAATGGAGATTAGGGTAGAGTGCCACATCGGTGTGTGGGTTGCAAAAGGAATGAAAACCACATCTTACTTTCATGGTAAAGATGGAATTTAAGGCTGGTAACAACCTCTTGTCAAAGCAGGGATTCTTTTCGGGAAGAAAACAGGGAAATGAGGGAGCCTGTAACCAACTATAGTTTTCAAAATCTTCCAAGATTTTGTGTCAATGTGTGCTTGCTAAAGAAGCCTAATAATAAAGCCCTGTAATGAAATCATCCTGCTCTGAAATCTTTCCTGTTACTCTTTAAAGTGCTCTACTTTTTCTTTTTGAGGTTTGGCCACCATATGGAATCATCTGTCACCTGATATCACATGCCAGGACTCTCCTACTGCCCTGCCTAATGACTGTGCGTTTCTAAGTCCTTCTAAATCCCAATCAAAACAAGAAGTGAGGAAATGTGAAATGAGATAGGAAAAGATACTTCTTTTCAAAGTCTATAACTGGACTCCAGCTTGTAAGGATTCTATTATAAAGGATACAGAATAAGAAAGTTGTCCATTCTTGATATGTAACAATAAATGATGTAATCAATTTAATATCCCAACCTTCTAAATGGATCTCTATTCTTCTTCAATCTTTTTCCCCACAACATTCCTTTGAGGTCAGCAAGAAAGACATGAGAATGGCTTTATCAAAGTTTGTAAAAAAGAAGAAAAAAACTTGAAGCAAAGAAAATGTGGACTACTTGGAGTACTAATACTCTTAGAAATACTTGAACTCAACTCTTGAATCCCTTACCAAAGACAACCAGCTCATAGCATAATCCACATCTAATTTTCAAAGTAATTCATGTGTACCAATAGATGCCCCAAATTAGGGGCACCCAAAATATAGCCCAGATACCAACTATTTTTTCTCAGCATCTATGCCTTTAGGACCAAAAAAATCAGTTTTGAGCACCTGGAGTTTACTGTTTACTTTTTCTTCTCTCTTTTAAGGCCCCCTTTTCCTTATTTTCTGATATCTATCTTTTATTATAATTTATAATATAGCAGTATATATTGGAGACAGTTTTAAAATTATTAATGTGCTTTATTTGTTTTGCATTTCCAAGTACATGTCCTAGAGCATCCATCTACTTGGGGAAATGTGGTGAGGAGAGAAAAACAAAAATAAAGACTGATGTACTATTTAGCATCTCACATACAAAATAGGATTTAACAGAAAGTCAATAAGCTTAGAGCCATGCATTTGTTAAAAAGAAAGGATTTCCCAAATGCTCTTATTTCCTTCTTTAGTGTATCAACCAATCCGGGAACACCAAGGCCTACTGAGTTCTTCTTAGTGCTGAGAAAATTCCATTTCCACCTGTGAATGCAATGGCAGGAAATCTCTTGTTCAGTCGTAGAAAGATCAAAATGTAGGTAAAGAAAAACAAAACCCTCCCCATTTCCAGCGTGGGGAATTATAGGGAACAAAAGAGAAAGAAAACTGAGATTCAAGTGTTCAGTCTTATGTTTCCTGATATTCCCCTCTCAGATTTTTGCCTAGAGAGGGTTATTTGTGTCATATAAGGGAAGAAACCTCAACGAGAAGGGACCTTTGCTCCATTTTCTTCCTTTGGGATTCAAGGAGGAGACGACCAACGTAGAGCCACTCAGCCTAATAAGAAAAGCAGACCATGTTGTTAGAGAATTATCTGGATTAGTACTTCTGATCCTCCTTCAAGACCCATGGTGTGGGGGCGTCTGAGTTGAGAGCCAGCCAGACTGATGTGGGGACTACTGTGCTGGGTAGGGCAAAGTGACACCACAGTAGAAGGTGGAACTGGGTGGCCTGGTCAGAGGGCTAGATGGGAGGCAAAGTAGAGAACAAGGGTCCAAAGCCAGTGATAACTCAAGAACAGGGGCCCCTCCACCCACTACCATGGAGATACCTAAGCCTCTTCATGTATCCAGGTACCATCCTAGGAAGGAAAATAAAGGGAGATGGGACCTAAGCAATTTTACCTAATAGGAATTGAAAAGTACATAAAGGAACAGTTGAAAGTTTTTTGATCAGATCAAGCTTACTCTAAATTTGATATTTTGTTACATTTCCCTACTCACTCTCAAGAAGAATTTCAGAATTAGTTCCTCAGGTGATTCTTTTGCACATTAAGTTTAATAACTATTACCCAACTTTCCAGTCATGCTGGCAAAAATTAAAACTAAGTTAAATCTTCTGGATTAACTGATCATGAGAAGAACAGATATCCTTGGTGCTTAAATTAGAAATTTCTCCGTAGGGTTCTCCTAGCAAAAATCTCATGCAATGTTTTCCATAGCAGACTTTCAGTAGACACACAAGTGTACTTCTTGAGGCTCTTCTAGAATATTCTTTAGTCTATGCTGATGACACCCCAGCAAAAAGCACAATCTAATGCTAAACCAACATTATACAGCAGAAGATCCAGCTTACCAAAGGATGGAGCTTGTTCAGACGTAAGCTTTAGAATATCTATGAAATTGATAAACATGAAGGCCTTTAAGCAAACTTCCCTTCATAAATTCTGTTCAGCTAAATTTTTGCTAAATGGTGGGTGGGCCTCAAGTTCAAGTGGGTAATCATTGTGGGGCTAGCTTATGTCACTTGTTAAACACAGACATATATCTAAGCAGACAGTAGAGATTAGTTTGGTATCATTTTATAAAAATTGAGCCATTTAATAAGAACAATGCTATATAGGTTTCCTAGGGTTGTCATAACAAAGTGCCACAGACTAGGCGTCTTAAACAAGAGAAATTTATTTTCTCATAATTCTGGAGGCTAGAAGTCCAAGATCAAGGTGTCAGCAAGGTTGGTTTCTTTTGAGGCCTCTTCTCTTGGTTTGCGGATGACTGTCTTCTCCCTGTGTCTTCACATGGTCTTCCCTCTGTGCATGTCTGCATCTTAACCTCTTCTTATAAGGACACCAGTCAGACTGGGTTAGAGCCCACCCATATGACTTCATTTTACCTTAATTACCTCCTTAATGGCCTTATATCTCAAAATACAGTCACATTCTGAGGTACTAAGGGATTAGGACTTCAACATATGAATTTGTAGGGAGGGGAGACAAGTCAGCCCATGACACATGCCTAAATAGGAGATCATACTGCTGGCTACAGGGATGGGTGCAGGAGTAAGCATGTTCCTCAAAGTCAGGCCAATAAGATTCTATTTCTCTGTGGAAAATAAGAGTCTCTTTCCATTGGGATTATCAGTTGTGGGAATGTAGCCAGGAGTTGGTCCACTATCCACCCCATATCTGGGGTAGGCTACAGTCCACCCACCTGAACGTCATGGAGAAAGAGTGTGGGGAAAGTATGCATACAGCTGTACATGATCAGGGCACAAAGGCACAAGCTGAGTGGTGAAATGAGAGGATGATGGTAGGATGTGGTCCAGTCTCCAAATCAGGTACCCTAGATTGGATCATCTGGCTGAAAGGAGCATCTTTCGTACATTCCCAGAGAGTCGCCACATGCTCTGCAGCCCTGGGAGACTGCAGATGTTTACTAGGCAGGAAAAACTACCCAATGTCCACTACTCGTTTCCATAACCTTTCTGTCCTTCCTACAGTTTCTTATATGCATATTCAATGTATGGGTCCTACGTTCATAAACTTTGGACCACTAATTTCAAAAATACAGAGGTCTCTCTCTGTTATACTACTCAAAGCCTTTGTATCTGGAATCGTGCTCCATGTTCCCAGGTCCCTAGGGTCATTCCCCATCAGGCCCCTAGGGATAGTCCCATCATTTTTTTCATACATCTCACACATCTTGCACATTGGCCCCTATACTAAAGTTTCCTTCAATCTCCACTGGCAATCCATTCTTCAGTGGCTGAGGCCTTGCTACCATGTGCATCTTCCTGAAGATTTTTTTCAGTTTCAGTGTGTGTGTGTGTACATTTTTTTTTCTTATTATAGCCATCAGCATTCGACTAAAGAGAAACAGAACTGCTAAGAATGGTCTCCAATAGAAATTTATTATAGACGTTAGACTGTACGTAATCATGGAAGCTGAAGGAGTCTGTGCAATTACTCGAGATCAGCCAGAAAGGAAGCTGGATGAGGATGAGAAGATGGATAAATGGAAACTGACATCTGCTTTTCACCACCTCCAACCCTGGTGCATTGGATGACCTACAGGAAAAACCGTGTTCTAACCACGGAGCTGCATATATTTGTAGCCCAGGATTCAAAGAGCAGATCTGGTGGGAGCTGGGAGCAGGATGAGTGTGGGTGCTGTCCCCCAGCAGCAAGGTGAGCTGGCAGACCAGAGACAATGTATGTGAGCTGCCACCATGTCTGGTATGCTGCACCAGCCTTCCAAAAATAACAAAAAGGCTTTGACTTCACTTTGGCCTTTCAAATCTTGTGTGAATTTTTCTAGCGGTCAACTTGAATGGGAAACTAAACAGAAAAGAGTATTCTGGGAAAGGTAGTTCTGCTTAGTTACACTGGCAGAGTACAAGACATCAGACATAGTAAATCTAAGTACTCACTTGAGCCAAAATTCAAGATGGTGGAGGAGTAAGACATGGAGATCAACTTCCTCCCCACAAATACATCAGAAATACATCTACATGTTGAACAACTCCTACAGAACACCTACTGAATGCTGGCAGAAGACCTCAGACTTCCCAAAAGGCAAGAAACTCCCCACATACCTGGGTAGGGCAAAAGAAAAAAGAAAAAACAGAGACAAAAGAATACAGATGGAACCTGCACCTCGGGGAGGGAGCTGCGAAGGAGGGGAAGTTTCCACACACTAGGAAGCCCCTTCCCTGGCAGAGACAGGGGGTGGGGGGGGGAAGCTTCAGAGCCACAGAGGAGAGTGCAACAAGAGGGGTGCAGAGAGATTCCCGCACAGAGGATCGGTGCCGACCAGCACTCACCAGCCCGAGAGGCTTGTCTGCTCACCTGCTGGGGCAGGTGGGGGCTGGGAGCTGAGGCGTGGGCTTTGGAGGTCAGATCCCAGGGAGAAGACTCAGGTTGGCTGCATGAACACAGCCTGAAGGGGCCAGTGTGCCAAAGCTAGCTGGGAGGGAGTCCGGGAAAATTTGTCTGGAACTGCCTAAGAGGCAAGAGACCATTGCTTCGGGATGAGCAAGGAGAGGGGATTCAGAGCACCGCCTAAACAAGCTCCAGAGATGGGCACGAGCCGCTGCTATCAGCGCAGACCCCAGAGACGGGCATGAGATGCTAAGGCTGCTGCTGCAGCCACCAAGAGGCCTATGTGCAAGCACAGGTCACTCTCCACACCTCCCCTCCCGGGAGCCTGCGCAGCCCGCCACTGCCCAGTGATACAGGGACAACTTCCCCGGGAGAACACACGGCCCGCCTTAGGCAGTTGCGATGTCAAGATGGCCTCTGCCACCACAGGCTCACGCTGCATTCCATCCCCCTCCCTCCCTCCGGCCTGAGGGAGCCATAGCCCCCTAATCAGCTGCTCCTTTAACCCCGTCCTGTCTGCGTGGGAACAGACGCCCTCAGGAGACCTACACACAGAGGCGGGGCCACATCCAAAGCTGAGCCCCTGGGAGCTGTGAGAACAAAGAAGAGAAAGTGAAATCTCTCCCAGCAGACTCAGGAGCAGTGGATTAAATCTCCACAATCAACCTGATGTACCCTGCATCTGTGGAATACCTGAATAGACAAGTTATCCCAAAATTGAGGCGGTGGACTTTGGGAGCAACTGTAGACTTGCAGTTTGCTTTGGGAGCAACTGTAGACTTGGAGTTTGCTTTCTGCATCTAATTTGTTTCTGGTTTTATGTTTATTTTAGTTTAGCATTTAGAGTTTATTATCACTGGTAGATTTGTTTATTGATTTGGCTGCTCTCTTTTTTTTTTTAATATAGATTTTTTTTCATTTTTCTCTTTTTGTGGGTGTGTATATGTATGCTTCTTTGTGTGATTTTGTCTGTATAGCTTAGCTTTTACGATTTCTCCTAGGGTTCTGTCTGTCCTTTTTTTTTTTTTAGTACAGTTTTTAGCACTTGGTAGAAGAATTATTTGATTTGGTTGCTCTCTTCTTTCCTTCTTTTTTAAAATTACTTAAAATTTTTTTTTTACTTTTAGTAATTTGTTTTATTTTTTACGGAAATAACTTGATTTTATTGTATTTTATCTTATTCTTCCTTTCTTTTTTTCTCCCTTTTCTTCTGAGCCATGTGGCTGACAGTGTGTTCATGCTCCGGCCGTGTGTCAGGCCTGTGCCTCTGAGGTGGGAGAACAGAGTTCAGGACATTGGTCCACCAGAGACTTCCTGGCTCCACGTAATGTCAAACGGCGAAAGCTGTCCCAGAGATGTCCATCTCAATGCTAAGACTCAGCTCTACTCAACGACCAGGAAGCTACAGTACTGGACACCCTATGCCAAACAACTAGCAAGACAGGAACACAACCTCACTCATTAGCAGAGAGGCTGCCTAAAATCATAATAAGGTCACAGACATCCCAAAACATACCACTGGACAAGGTCCTGCCCACCAGAAAGACAAGATCCAGCCTCATCCACCAGAACACAGCCACCAGTCCCCTCCACCAGGAAGCATACACAACCCACTGAACCAACCTTAGCCACTGGGGACAGACACCAAAAACAACGGGAACTACAAACCTGCAGCCTG